TGTTCAGTGTAGGACAGTGGTTCTCAATTTTTTTTTGTAACCAAATGCCACCAGGCAGAATGAGACCAGTAGTGAGCAATCCTCAGAAACACTTTTTACTTTGAGTTAATTTGCTCCGTGCACACAGGAGCATTGGCAATTCTATTTTTATGTCTATTTGAAAGAAATAGAAGAATCGGTTAAGGAAGACCCATGCTTTACTAATTAACCCTTATTTCATGGTCTGAGCTATTAAATAGAATTTAGTTTTCAGTACAGTTCACGAAACAAAGTCTAGTATGATGTGGTGTACTTGTGAAAATACCACTTAGTCCTAATTTTGCTGTTGTCATCTTTTATAGCATCACTTTAGAAGAATTTGAGAGATACGTGTAAGGGAATCGTGGGAAATTGGTGACTTTTTCACATACTTCATGCAAAAGGTCTTTCTGACCTATTGTGGTTACTTTTCCTATGTTGTCTGTGCATATAAAGCTGTGCAGATAATGGTGGCTCTGAGTGGACTAAGGATCCTCAGATGCCACTGTCTCGGGAGATAATCTTTGCCAAAACAATTGGGCAACCATTTGAATTGCTTGGAAATTTTCTGATGAAATAGTCTTTTGCTGAAATTTGTCAGCATGGTGAAATTGAAATGTTTTGCAGAACAGACCGACTTTTGCCAAAGTTCTGATGGAACCTAAGTAGAGCTGTTGCCTGTGCGCAGGTCTTTGATTTGATTGCTTTTCTGGTAACTCACCTGTTTGGCAGGTTACTGTGATGCTGAGGTTTGTGGGATGTGTTGTTCATACTGCTTTTACAACAGAAACCCCGGGTAGCTTTCTTCCTGGGATAAGCTAGAGCAAGGGCTTCATTCTGTTGGGAAGAACTTAAAAATCCCGTGGTGTGGGGGTTTTTTTGTTTTTGTGTTTTGGGGGTTTTTTTGGGTTGTTTTTTTTTTTTTTTTTTAAATCCTAATCAGAATGAAAAGACTAAAATCCTCATGCTAACAGCTTCTATCCACTTAGTCCCTGTGTGTCATGCAAGCAGATCAGGCCAGGATCATTACTCTTTCCTTGTGCAAAAGTTCATGGACTCTTGCTGAATTGCTGATGCAGGCAGTGGTTTGCCAAGTGAAAACTGTAAGCAAATGTTATCTTTGTTTTTCCACTTTTTTTAGCATATGTTTTGTCATTGATACGTTAATCTGTCATCTTCCTTTTGTATCTGCTTGTTACCATGTGCAGTCAAATTTTGATATATTAAAAATCCTTGTGTGACATTAATGTACAGCTGATGAAACAGGAAAATTCCTTTGGAGTCACTTAACTATTTGCAGTTGTTTCTTGTACGAGCAGTTGGTTTTTTGTGTCAGTGGCTTTACCTTATGGCAAGGCAACTTTTAGATGCCCCAATAGGCAGAGCATGTTAGAAGACCATGAAGACTGAAGACATACTCTTTCTCTACAAAACATCTTTAAATATGTTTTAAGACAGTATTTTATGTTTCTGTGAAAGCTATTTTTAAAGTCAGAGCATATATTGCCTAGGAAAAGATGACAGAGTTTTGTCAATGCAGAAGATAATGCATTTAAAGCACAGATTAGCTTCATGTGTAAACTTGGCATCTGTTGTCTAAGCAGTGGAAAAAGTTCTCAGATTTTCTAGATGGCTTAGTATTTTTAAAGGTATTGTTGAATACTTTGATAAAGTTACTCAGAAGAATGTTTTCTTGTGATTATGTGGTAGAAAGATGTGAATCTGTTGCTGTGAATTTTTTGTGAAATACTAGCTGATGTAGCGCGTTCTGACTGAATGAAGACTTCAGAATCTCTTGTTGGCCCATTAAGGAGCAGTGGCATTTCTACACATGCTGATGTTTTAAAAATACATACTTTATTGCCTGTCAAAGTACCGTATGCATTTGGTTCCTTGGATTTAGTATACTTTTGTGTTTAAAAATAATGACCAAAACACAGCTGCATACACAAAGCAAATCAGACCAGATATGCAAGGAATACTGCATGTTGTATGCAGAATATGAATAGTACTGTTATCTTTTTAAGATTTTAAAGTTTTCATAGCATAACAGGCCATGCTGGATGCATGTTATGAGAAAGTTTAGTTGTACTCCATTTCTCTGTATATTCAAACTGAACTGTGAAGACTATAATTAAAGTATACATATTAAGTGTTAACCAAACAAACTAACCACAGCAATTAGAAGCGGGAAACAAAATGACTTTTCTTCTTAGTCTAATCTTGGTTTTAGAGGTAAAAAAATGATTTTGGTGGTCTTGTAACAAGACACGCAATACTCTTCAGAACTTACTGTTGTTCTCCCATTACTGCTGACTAATGTAAGACCTGTTAGCACATTTGTGAGACTTTTCTAGTCTCTTACCTACAATCTTAACCACCTACCTACCATGACTTGGGAATGCTTCAGTGATTGATGTTCACAATGTTCATTCAAATTCCTTGAAAGAAGGATGTGTGTATAAGCAGATGGAAAGTGTTGCACACTTTCGTCATCTACAGTTTACACAAGATGTCCTAGTCTACTGGCAATAAACACCTTGAGTTGTTGGGAGACAACCTCTCTCTTCAAGGCCTTCTTTGTCAGTAGAAAATACGGTTTTGATCTTTCTCCTCTCTTGCTAGTAAATTGAATATTCAAGGTACTCAGTGACACAGGCACAATAAAAACTAATTGTATTTATAGGCATTCTGAAGGCTTGCTGGGAAGTGATTGTTTCAGGTTGTAGAACCTCCTGTGCGTAACAAATTCTGTATTGTGTTCTTTGCAGGTAATGGCAACTTGGAAGTGATGGACTGATTTCTTTTGACTGAGTTCATTAGACTCAAGTTCATTTTGGAATTGGGCATTTAAATCCTTGCAGCTGCTAGAAATGTAAGCTGGTGTAGACTTGAACAAATCCGAGGGCAAGAGGAAATGGGGGAGCTAGGTCACTGGCAAGATGGTGCACTGTCAGACTGGTACAGCCATGAATGTAGGTAACATTCTTTGCAACTTGGCTGCTAAAAGAACAAGTTGTGTCAGATGAGACTTACTCAGCCTGAAAGTATGTAAACTGAGTAGTTTTATAAGGTCTTGATGAAGATCCTATAAATAGGTATGTCTGTAAATATGTTCAGAAGAAAAAGTGGTGGAGTCTCTTAAAAAAGAGAGAGGGAGAGAGAGAAATACGTTACTATAACCACTGTGAACCTGTTCGGCTTGGCGTTTTTAATCTCCAAATTTCCTTCCCTTTTTTTCCAGAGCTATGAGCTGCTTTTTCATAAGCAAGTGATAATTTTTCTGTTTGTCATGTGAAGAAGAATAGACTTGGTATTAGGCGGCTTTATTCAATTTTTGCATTTGAAATGCAAGCTGCAATGTCACTGAGCTTATTCAAAATGTTGCAATCCGTATTCCACTGAGCTCTGCTAGGCAAAGAGTACAAGTGGCTTGAGTTCTTAGCTTAACCTGGTTTGTCCCATCAGTTCATCAGCAGCTGTCTCATGCAGCTAATGAAGTTATGCAATTGATCTGGAGTTTATGGAAAAACTACACAATTAACTACAGTCAGGTAAATCTTTGTGCAGTTTTGCTCAAAGGCAATAGCCTGACTGGGAATGATGAATGCAAGGCAGTCCTGAGCATGGAACAGTACTTTAAAAATAGAAAATAATTTAGAATACCCAGCAATGCCCCTCGGTGTGAAACCTGCATCAGCAGGTGGTGGTCCTGTGCTTCATTTGAAGCTGGTGCTCTCAGATCAGTGTGCATGGAACGCGTGCTCAGTAGGTCAGTGATAGGCTGCTCTGACCCAAACAACTCCTCCTTTCCCCCTCCGGCAATGTATTACAGGTCTGGAAAACTTGCATTGACTGTACTGGACTTTGGATCAGATCGTAATTGGCTGGCTAGACAGAATTTGAAGGAGAATCCCTGGAGGTGCATACAAAATACACAGCTGTCCAAACAAGTCAAAACTGCTTATCTCTAAAGCCAGTATTGCAAGGGGAAAAACGCATATCATTGCCATAACAGTCTGACTTCTGTGGGGAGAGAAGCTGAATTTACTGCTCATTGAGATGGGTTCCTTTTTCTTGGGGTATTAATGATAGACTCAGTAGACACAGCACATGGTGCTGAGGAAATTCTGTTGATTACCTTCTCTTCTCTCCTGTCCAGGGAGATTTCTGCCTGAAGAGTCATCAAATATTAAACTTGCAGAGTTCTCCCATTCTGAATTCTGTCTCCTTTGGACTTCCATTGTGTTTTTTTCCCCTCTATTCAGTTTTAAAATTCATTTTTGCTTCTCTATCAGGCTCTTTCCTATGTTGGGAGAGTCACAACAGGGTATTTATCATTTTCTCACTGGTGCAGGAAGCTGCTGTTGTGCTCAAATGGTGTTTCTTGCAACCACAGAAATGTTGTGCAAAGAGAGCAAGGGTGGGTGTTCCTTTGTCCTTCCTGCTACAAAACACTTGGTGTTAACTTCCACTTGAATTGAAATAAGTGGCTGTTGTCAGTTTTCAAATAGAATTAATTTTTCTGGCTGAAGGGGGTGTTACTGCATGAAGTGAACATAACATGTCTCTCTTTGTAATTACTTTTCCTTTTTAATTTATTTTCTTCATGTAATGCTATCAATTGGTTCTTAAACTCATGCTGTATTCACAGAAAAGAAAAACATGGTGAGTGCAAAAAAAAAAATTGGTAATTATATTTCAAGTCAAGTGTCTATTTCATACACCAATTTCTTGCTAGAACTGAGGAGCGGTCTCTGATAGTACCCAAAGTGTGTCTTTAAATTTTTTTTTTTTAAACTTTGTTTTAAAAAAACTAAATTTAAAAAGTTCTTGGCAAAGACAACAGGAATTTGGGCAAATGAGATAGGAGCGGATTACTCTATCTGAAGCTAAACACAGATGTGAATTCTTAAATAATGATGCATTATGTATTGTTCACAGCTGTTAACTTTTTTTAATATTAAGTGTGTTTTTATTGCAGATACATTATGTTCCACCACTGCTTGTGTGCCTGCTGTGTCTGAGCTCCTGTGGATACTAGCAGCAAGTGGGTGACTTGTGATGTGCTTCTTTAAAGGGCTTCATCACTCATGTTTCATACGGAGATTTCTCAAGTGATAAAAGGTAATAAACAGTCGTGGATTTATCTGTAGTGAGAGAATGCTCTGATTTTTGAACGTCCAAAGTTGTATGTTGGAAGTGGTATGGCTCAAGATCCTAGCCCTCAAGGTTTCCCTAGAAACCCACCAAAAAAACCCAACCAACCAACCAAAAAAACCCCAACCACATTAAGTGAAGATGGGTGATGATTATTTTCAAGAAGAGTGTTTGGATTTCACTAAAGTGGTAGAGCCCATAGCTCAAATTGTCCATAAGAAGAAAAAAAAAGTTGTTCTGAATGGGGCTGTGAATGCTGCATATTATTAAATCATGAGGATTTTGTGTGTCTTCCACATTTTAACGAAATCTCTTGTGTTAGTGGTGGTTTTCAATCTCATTAATTAATTTCTTCCTGGTTGATGTAAAAAGAACCATATGAATTAGTGCAACCCAGTGCGGCTGGTAAAATTAAGCCTCAGGTGCATTGGAGGTACAGACAGCAACAGAGAATTGCATGTAAACATGTTGCATTGTAGATGCTGGTGCTTGTGGTTAGAGCAATATGGGGAATGATTAATCTCATCCTTTAGAAGCTGTGACTTGAAATATTATCCAGACTAGGAACATTAAAATAACCGTGTTGGATCAAATCCTCTGTTCATCAGTACCAGAATCAGATCTTTTATATTTTGTAGCTTTGATCTCCAAATCAAGATTTTCATATTCTATCCAGATTTCATTACACGTTCTTGTTACATGTGTAAGTGGACAGGCCATTTTTCACTTTCACTGGGTCGTGATTATGTCAGACATCCACTTTCAGATGTGCATGGGCCTGGTACATAGCTCCTTTTTGGCAAACAAATACTTCTGTGGTACTCTGAGTAACTTACCAACAAAAGTCCCATTCTGGGTATATTAAATCCTTTTATACAGTTATGAGAATTCTTTACACAAACATTTACATTCTTTACACAAACACAGAAATTGTTTTGATTACAGTATGATAACAAATCTGTTCTGTATACCCCAGAAAATGATACTCAAATATGTTCTACAAACTGGTAGATTAATGTCTCCCAGTATATTTAGTCTCAAATTGCTCAGCTTTTACAATGGTCAGAAGAATAGGCCATACTTTAAATATTCTAGCTGAACAGCAATAAAATTTTTTTGCCATATTTAATGTTTCTCTTGTGCTGATGCAATGGTCTCTGGATGGAGGAAAGAAGGGAAAACCAAGTGTCTCCAATTGGAGGCTTGTCTGCTAAGAAATACAGGTGAAAGCAGTTTTGTTACTGATGAGCTCTTTCACACCACCAGTGAGTGTGACTATGTGTTTCAATTACTGCACATGTGAAGAACTGCTTTACTTGGATATATAGGACAAAGGCCAAGAAAATGCGTTTTCTATATTTCAGTGAAGAAACTGATTTAGGGATATTTCTTGCTTTCACCTGTCTGTTTCATCAGCACTTTGACATAAAAACTAAACTTGAAAATTATTTAAATTGAAGTGGTGACACAAATATACAAATAGTATCTCTGGAGATGTTACACATTGTTGCATGGAACCTTTGAAATTAGCACAACAAAAAGAGCAGAGTATTCTGTTACAGCATTTACTTTGCATTTTTTACTGCACTTCGTTGATGTTTCACATTCTTAGGTGTGATTAAGCAAGGTTCCCTTCTGGGTTTATGGAGTTTTTCATCATTCTCTCCTTGTTTCTACATGAAATTTTTTTGAAAAGGCGAATGTGTTTGTAAATACACAAACTTTATGAAGGAAAGCTAGGCACAAGCATGTCTGTTTAGTTCACTTTTGAAATTGGCCAGGTTTTCAGTTAGTTCTATGAACAGTATTTTCATTCAGTGTTGGATAGGCATAATACCAAGTGACCAAGATGAAAGGATCTGTCAGTTCAGGTGAAGGTTTGTATTCAACAGAGGGTTAATGTTAAAGTATTTTAGAAAAATTACTTTGGTAATTAAAGAAGGCTTCCTCTAGAGTTTAAAGCTATGAATGTTTTGTATAAGCAAGTGGTAGAGCACAAACATTACATCTTACAAATTGTTGACAGAGGTAGTGAAAAATCTTTTAAATATTATGTTTCTAGTGATGTGGTAGTAATTTTCTTCTAAGAAACATGAATTCCTTGATGGGTTAAGAGAAATGCATATTTTTCCTTAATTGAACACTTGTTACCTGTGTGCTGCCTTTGCAGCTGAAAGCCTGAATCTTCTCACATAAAGGTGGCTCACTCTATGAATGAGGAATAAGGAATCCATATGCTCCTCTAGATCAGGGCCCCAGGGAACATAGTGAGTGACACTTGCAGCTAGAAATTCAGATTTTTATGTCTGTGATAGACTGGCTCTTTGTGTTGCTTAGTTTGGGAAATAAAATGATGCACTTTTCTCTTGGTGATGGTGTCTTTTTTTTCTTCTTTCCCTCAGAATTACCATCATAGTAGCATAGTTTTATCCTCCTGTATGTGTGACTGAATATCTTTGTCTATCATATAGCTCATGAAGTTAATGTTTTCCTCCTTTGTGTTTTGGTGTTTTGCTTTTTTTTCTGCTGACTTTACTGTTGTGATCCGTTTCTGTAGCACAAGTCATATTTAGCCCACATAAACGTATAATCATACACTCATCCTTTTCTCAGTACTTGTAGTTAGGAGCAGAAAATTTTAAAAAAAATCATGTTCCAAACAGCTCTTTTATAATAAAGAAACATAGTTCAATATAAATAAAAGCCATTGAAAATTGCACTTTAAGAATCTCACACCCATCTGCCTATGCAAAACAATAAACATTTTAAAGTTAAATAGTAACATTTTTATGTTCAATATCTTTATTAACTGTTCAGTATCTTCATCAACAACATACAGTGGGATTGAATGCACCCTCAGCAAGTTTGGGGATGACACCAAGCCGAGTGGTGCAGCTGATGGCTTGAGTGAAGGGATGCCATCCAGAGGGACCCTGACAGGCTTGAGGAGTGGGCCCATGTGAACGTCATAAAGTTCAACAAGGCCAAGTGCAAGGTCTGCACCTGGGTTGGAGGAATCCCCAGTATCAGTACAGACTGGGGGATGAACGGATTGAGAGCAGCCCTGCAGAGAAGGACTTGTGGATATTAATAGATGAAAAATGAGACATGAATTGGCAATGTGCACTTGCAGCCCAGGTGATTCTCCTCTACTCTGCGCTTGTGAGACGCCACTTGGAGTACTGGTCCAGCTCTGGGCTGCCCAGCACAAAGAAGACGTGGACCAGTTAGAGCAAGTCCAGAGGAAGGCTACAAAAATGATCAGAGGGCTGGAACACTTCTCCTGTGCGGACAGGCTGAGAGAGCTGGGGTTGTTCGGCCTGGAGAAAAGAAGGTCCCAGGGAGACCTTGTTGCAACCCAAACCATTCTATAATTCTAAAAAATCAAATCTTTGTAACTGGTAGCTTGTTTAGACCTATTCTGCATTTTCAAAATATGAAATGCTAAATTCTCAGTGGTACTTATTTGGAATCAGTTTTAATAAAAGCAAGCCTTATAGGCTGTGGTCAAAGCTTTTATCCTAAGCATGGATTATACTGATGACAATTATGATGGAGTCACAGAAGAGCAGAGACATTCTTCAACTGGCTTTTGGAATGTGCTGTCAATCTCACTTCTTTTTTTTAAACTGGTTTCTTTTTTCATTATCAAATGTACGTGTGGTAATATTAGTCTCTTTTTTCCTTTGATTACATTTATCAGAGAGGATTTTTAGCTTGAGCTCCTTATGAATAGACTGAAATGATTATTCTGAAAGGAGGTGGTCTTGGAAGTCCTCCCATTTGTAGATACAAACCAAGTCTGCTTACTTAGAGTCTCACCTCAGTTAGCACATGTTTTCTTTTAAGTGTCTGCTTAAGACTAAAACTCAGCTGAATGGTGCTATTCCTACTCTTTATCAGTGTCAGTTTGTGATTTAGGTAGTTGTTTTGTCTTGCAAGTTCTCAGTGCAATCGTTGTGTTTAAACTGAGATTATAATGAGTTGCACAGCTGTCATTAAAGGGATTATTTTGGCTTTCAGGTTTAACTAGCATTTTTCAGTTGGACAGGTGAGCACACACTGTGTAAAATCCAGTGAGAGGTAATAAATCCTCTAGTTGGACTCCTAATTACTAATTTTGTTTTCCTCTTATAGTGTTTGTTATTTTTCAGACTAGGGCTATATAGTAAATCAAAGAGAAACTCAACTTTTGGTGAACCTTCTAAGCCATTCTCTTGTCCTCAGCTGTTAATGTTTTTTCCTGTATCAGAATGGTACTGTTATTAAACAGGAGTATTACAAGCAAAACCAAATACAGTTAGTCAAGAAGTACTCCTTACATTTCTTTTAGGCAAATGCTCTGAACAGAACCAAAACAAACAATGGCCTGTCTTACAATGACAAATATGGAAGGTACAGCAACTTCTACTGTCCACCAGAATGGTGACATCCATGGGAATACCAGTGCACCCAAGCAGACAGAACCATTGCTTCAAGTGTACCTTTATCATTCTCCTGGGAAGACAGGAGGAGATTACCTTCAATTTCCAGCTGGAGAATATGTTGCGGAAGAGATTTGTGCTGTTGCCTGTAAAGCCTGTGGTAAGTATATGCATAACAGTTTTCCTATCGAAGGAGTGAAATTCAGCTTAGTGCAAGAAGGTTTTTAATAATCCAGAGCTCATCAAAATGGTGGCATTTCAACTGAAATGCTAATCTCTCTGTTCTTTCAGAAGTAATCAATATCAGAAGTAATTAGCACCAAGCTGCAAAACTGTTCCTGTCAGAATGGTTGTGAAACTGAGATTATAATTGAGTGATTGCTATCTTTTTTCAAATAAGTTGAGGGTGTACTATCCTTTACTTGGAAGTCGTCTTTCATTGAGCTGAGATATAGTTTGGATAGTTGAATCACAGCAGGAGCTAGAAATAGCTTGAATTACTTTCTGATGCAGCCCTGCGAAACAGATTGGTCCTGGAAGTTATGTGTATATTGTATATTATAAATGGTTAATCACTTTGCAGATGGGAACTGTTCTATTAGATACAACATGACTGCTGGTGTGTGTGTGGTTAATGCTTTTCGTAATCGTTTAGGAAATAATGTGAGTAAATGACAGGGTAGTATGTTTGAAAAATAAATAAAACATGTTTATATGTAAGAATGCCTTTGAATTGTAACATTTACTAAGAGTTTAACGTGAACAGGTGCTGAGACACGTAGTAAAGTAATTCAAGCATGCATTTTGTGCATGTGTCTTTCTTTCATTGCAAAAGTAGGTTGAATTTCTGGATAAAGAAAATTCATTCCAATAAACTTCGGATAATAAACTGACTGTCTTTTTGTTCCTCCTGCACGTGTGTGCGCGCGCGCGCGCACACACACACACGTACACAGTCGTCTCTCCATATCTTCTTTTGGGCTGGCAGTGGTACAGGGCTGGATTTGTCTTTTAGCTTTCCAAGTTCTGCATTTCAGGTGCAAATTAATTTAAAAGAAAGGCTCGTAATTCCAAATCTTTCTTTTCCAGTGGGTCACAAATATGAAGCTGCTGACTCTGACTGTACATTTTATTATTTCCAAACATCTTACGCTTTTGTGATTTTTGTCTTTTGATTGCTATACTGTTTTTAAATATGGTTTTAACGACTTTTGGGAGAGATCTGTCAGTTTTTTCTGTGCTGTTGAATGTCTGGCACTGAGTTGCATGCTGTGAGTTGGTAATTTGCTTGTATATGCTAGTTCCACAAAGAATCTTCTGGGTTTAAGCCCCGTTTTTCCTTGGAGTTCTTTAGGCATGGCAGAATCTGACTAAGATCTGAGTTCGTAGAGTTGCTCTTCATGTAATATGAGAGCTTTAGGCAGATAAGTACCTCTAATGAGTTCAGCAGAAGCACTGCCCAGGATTCATTCTGGGAGACCATGAGGAAGTAGTATGGTATTTAGAGGTTTGCAGAGTTCTAGCTCTCTGAGATTCCGCTGCTCTAATGACCTTGTAGGTCTGAGTTTGACAAATGGATCTGGGAGTGTTCTCAAAGTTAAGGTGTCTTTTTGATGATGACTCAAATCTAGATCTTCCAGATGTCTTCCACTGTGTCCCCAAGGTTCTATAGTCTCTTTCTTCCAGTTGAAGGAAAAAAAAAAAGAGATTTTCTCCCCGCTTTAGAAAATATGCCCATACTCACTTCTGTAATGTGGATAGATTTCTTGGCAGTGGTGCCCGTGTTTTTTGGGATTCGGTCTTGCCTCTGTTAGGTTTGCCAGCTTAGTTCAGCCCCTCAGGTACGGCATCTAAAGGTGTATAAGGCTAGTGTGGGGATGTTCTTTCTGAGTGTTAAAGTGGTATTGAATTTTTACATTAGGCGATAGTTACATTTTTTTTTAATGGAAATAAATACTGTTGTAGTCACTGAGGGTATTGCTGAGGGAGTGAGACAGAACAATTTTACTAGATAATGGTTGGAAAAAGTGCTTCTTTGTTTAACTCAGACATTCATGTACCAGCTTGTGAGAATATTAAACTGATGAGGGCTTGTATCCATCAAATTCAGTATGTTCAGAATAATGTGGTCTTTGAAAGAATATACTGTATCATCAACATGACATCAGGTGCCTTGCTTCCTTTGCGTCCTGTCTGACTAGGGTTTTTTTTGTGATGGGGAATAACAAGTCATCTGAACACAAATTTTTTAGTTACTCTTCTAATGAATCAGCTAGTTAAAGCTCGCGTTCCAGAAAATCTCCCAACCTAGCCTGAATTCACTGGAATAGTAACTACCTTGGTAGTTTGATTAGCTGTTTCTACTGTCATTGCTGGTCTGTCCACTTTTTTCTTCCTTTTTCTCTGGTTTGAATTTTCCTTACTTCAGTTTTCAGATGTTTGTTCAAGTTATGTTTTTCTTTGCCTTTCGCTGTCACCAACCCTAGGGAGATATTTATGTGCCATAATAAAATTATCTTTGGGTCTTCTTTTTGATAAAACTTAAATTTATTGATTTCTTTAGCTTGAACATTGTAACTGTTTTAATTTTTTGGCTGTCTCCTGCACTATCTCCAATTTCCAAGGAAAATGTGCAGCCCCAGCCATGTATGATATTCTTCTCACCCACATCACAAACATACAAAATCCAATTCCTGCTAATCCACAAATCCAATTAGTTTTGTTTCCCATGACATCATCTGAAGACTTCATACTCTATTGCTTGTTTTGTCAGACCTCACCAATCCTTCTCAAGGCTTCTAGCTTTCTGGGGTACCAGTTTGTTTTGCTGGGATGGCTAGTACATAGCTCCTAAATGTATCCTTTTATATGTGACTGTTTTCAAAATAATTTTGTATGGATAGTACTTCTTATTAAGTTGCTTTTATAGTTTCTATTTTTTCAGCATTCTTCACCAGAGTTTCTGAAGTATATCAGTAGCGATTTATACTTACTTGTATAAATAAAATGTTTTATCATGTTGAGCCTTTATCCTTGTAGAGCTGAGGTAGACAGAGCCCTCTGAAGAGTGGTTTCTGCCTGGCGGCTACTATAGCAGTATTGTACTACCTTTTTCTCCATGGAATTTGTAACTTCATTTCTTTCTAAATTGTTGGAAGAGGCTGAGATGGCTGCAGGTTTTTGTTCTTTCATAACAGTTATTAGTGCTTAAATCATGAGGTACCACTTCTTCTTAGTTTCTGTTTTTTCTAGGAGGTTTTGTGGTTGTACAGCAGAACACATAGGTCTGCAAAGCCTATACAGTCAAATAATGTTTATGTTGGCAAGACGTGTCCTTTGGGAGTTAGCTATGAATCAGAATACTTCATAAAGAACAGAGTGGTTTGGGTAGTAGGCATGTCCAAAATATAACAAACTTGGTAGTTGTTAATGAACTTGCTCTGTGATCTGAGCAATTATTAGATCTGTTGATAGCAGAGCTGGTTACATCAAAGTATGACTGTTTGTTATTGGTGGCAAGCTGGACTGGACCTAGGTAAACATCAGCAGTCACAGAGAAAGTCTTGTTATGTACCTTTTACACAGTTCAAACAATTGAAGGTTTTCCAGTCCGTGCTGACTTGACTTTAGATCTGTTGTATATGGCATGTATTGGCTATATAAATACTAGCCTGTCTAAATATTATTCTGTAGCTGGATGCCAGTTTGAGGCATGTGTGCAGAAGCTAAGCCTTTTCTTATTTTATTGAAGAACAACTTTCCATTTTTGGAAAAAATACAATAAATATGAAACTTTTTGTAGGTTTGTTTCTTTATATGGAAAACTGTCTGAATGTGAAACTGAATACCTAACCAGAAATGCAAGAATAAATGAAATGTCTTGAAATAAGGTGTATATTGACTAGTCAGTGCTGTGGTTCAGCTTTTGAATGTTAACTAGTATGTTAATTGCCGTGTAAAAAATTATAAATGTCACACCAAATACAAGGCAAGTCTTTGCTCTCAGCCTAACAGAGAAAGTGATATTAGAGGAACTAACTGACGGTAGAAATGAAATATGACAGAGAAATTGTTCTGGAGGTTACAGGATCGTTGTGCTAGATGTCTTGTAAATTCAGTATGAGAGACTTGTTTTCTCAAATAATGATCTTAAACCCTTTCATTTTCTCCTCTCTCTCAAATAATCTTAAATGAAATTCTCTTTTAAGCTGTGCTTAATGTATTCAGTTTATAAAAACATCAAGCAGTCAAGGCCATTCAAACAGTAGTAGTAGTAATGGTTCAGGAAAGCCACCAGAGTTGATGCGAGTTGTGCTGATAACACAAGCTTGATGTGATATTTTACAGAATAAATAAATGTGATTGTTTACAGAATAACTGTAAACTTTATAATTTTTGTTTTACTCTAAGTCTAAATTATGAAAAAAATCTGAAAATCTGTGTTTAAAAATTAGCAGGTGTAATTGAAAATAACACGAACTGAATTTTGTTGTGGTGTAGGTAAATCAGATACAGACTAGTGGGAATATCTGTAGTCTTTGAATCTTGGATGTATTTATACAGAAGGGAGGATGTTTTGTATACTATATTACTGTAACAACGCTATACCAATAATTTTGCAATAAGATACTGCCTAGTCTCTTGTAAGTGGATTTAAGAGTTTTTAGCATCAGATAAAGTAATTAAAAAGAACAACAGCAACAAAAAAAAAACCCAGCTGTGAACTGTACACTGTAACTTACTGGAATAATACATTATACACAAGACTGGTATTACATGGAAAAGTAATTTTCTTTTAATTTTTACCAATCTGTTCATTTATTCCATCAGCTGAATAATATGAGTAAAAAATACATGCATCACTTGTATGTATAATCCAAATTGTTATTGAATTAAAGTTAGCAAAGTGAAGATATTTTTATATTACACTAGGCAAATGAGTTTCTAAATCACAGTTAAAACAGTTACAATTATAAGCAAAGCATTGCTTTGTTGTTAGCCAAATAAATTTGTGCCATGCTCTTGAAAATCTTAATAAATTAGTATTAAAGTATGAAGAGCTAGTGACTTTAAATGTAACTATAACGTTTAAATAGCACACTGAAAAATGTTTTGGCAAAGTCAACCAAGGAGCATAGTTTTGTTTAGCATCTTGCCTTTCTTCCATGGCTTGTCCTGCTGGTGTATATGAACCCTAAATCTCTGTAGGATGTATCTGACTTTACTTATGTACTTTCTGACAGGCTTTTGTTCTGATTTCTCCCCACCCCTTCTGTTAGGATCGTTAAACCCTGAAATCTTAGCTTTTTTAATGGAACTAGAATTCCAAGAGGGAACCAGTTTGATAATCCTGACTGGGTTGCTGAGTTACAGGCAGCTAGCAGTTAACAAAAGACCTTGAATTTGTTGGATTTGGCGTGGGTGTTGTGTTTTGGTGGTTTGTTTTTTGGTGGTTTTTTGTTTGGGGTTTTTTTTTTGGTTTTTTATGTTGATATCCTGAAACTCCACCTAGGAACCTTTTAATTCTCACCCATCTGATTTGCAAATAGATTGGAAGTTCCATGGTGCTTTCCTTGAAAACTGCTGGTCCTCCCAGAAAGCCATAAGATAGCAGAGAATTTTTAATTATACTAAAGTAAAAGCACCTGTTTCAAAACATTTAATGTGACTAAGCACTGACAGTGTCAATTAAACATTTTCAAGGGGTGACTGTGTTGTATAATGTGATGATTGTGATGACCTCTCTGCTTGTATGGTTCAGAGGAGATCCTTGTTAGTAGCTAGAGAATTTTAAGCAGATTTATCCTTAACATACTGAATTTGCAGAATTTGCATGGCTCAGAGTTATTGATTGTAACTACTCATTGTGGGTTTGGGGTTTTTTTTTGGGTGGGGAGGGTGCATTTTGTTTTTTGTTTTTTGTTTTTTTTTTCTTAAGTGATAGCCTTTCCTGAAAATCCAGCTCAACACCCCCACCCCAACAAAGTGGGGAATGGATTAGTCAGAACTCTGGGCAATTCTGCTTTGCCAAGAAAGGAAACGTGGGCTTTGATTAACTATTCAGAAAACATTTTGTTGACAGGATAGTGACATTGAATGTGGTGTCAGAGTTCAGTAAGTCTCCAGTTTGTATGAAAGATGAGGGTGAGATATTATTTTTAGGTAAGAAAAGCCAAGCAATTTTCCATCTGGTATGTGCAAGACTTCATAAGTTTTAGCTAGTGTACTTGACGGCTGTGTGTAAGAACTGACTAACGTTTGTATTGGACCTTGAAAATTGGGGATTTTTAATTGTTTTTAATCATTAACTCCATGCAACTAATTGCTTTCATCTGTATATGTCTAGTGACTTATTAATATGCTTGAATTGTCAGTTTCGTAAGACACTGTTTCTACTGTAGACTACACAGGACTTCCACATTTCCTAGTGGTGTCATGGCATTTTGTGATTTACAGTTTCTGGTTTTTACTTTTTCTTTACACAGCGATGTTACCTAATGAAAACATACTGTGCGGGTGAAAGGAGGAAATATAGAAAAACTATGTTTCCTTAGTTGCTTCAGGGTAAATGAAGTGTGACTTGTCTGGATGTGGAGCTCTAAAATCATAATGAGGAAAGGAAGAAACTACTATGCAAATCATTCTTTTTTTAGGCTTGAGGTAGAAGTTTGAGGAATAAACTTCTGTGTTACAGCCTTTCATGATTTTACTTGACAGTCTGTATAGCATGATGAGGCTCCTTTATTTAGCCTTGTATACTAAATAAAATACTTGTCAAGAGATAGTAATGTTTTTTTCTTTGCAATAGTCCAGAAAATTTATTTAATCGCCCTTGCTGGAGAACAATTCTGCTTTATTATGTCTGAGTCACTGTCCCCTCTCCTAATTAATCATTGATTGATTTGATAGCATGGTTAGTGCAGTGCAGAAATCCAGGGGAGGTTTTTTTTGTACCTGTTGTGAACAGCTTTTCTGATTTTACTTGTGTTAAAAATACATTTCTCAGAAGTTTTCACTATTGTTGACATGTCTAAGCTTCATCAGAAGACTTTGATTCTCCACCCCCACACACCTCCACCCCCAGTCTTTTGGTTTTCATTGTTTCTGGCGAAAACACTTAAATACTGCGTTTATCATTCACTTGAAAAGTCCCTGCAATTAATAGTGCTGGTAAGCATTACATGAAAAGAGATGTTTCTGACCTTTCTGCCTTCATCAGACTTTTGTGGACAATTTTGAAGACTCTAATAAGAGGATGTGCTCTATTTGTATAGTTGTTGAACTTTCTCAAGTGTAACAATACTCTGGCATAAATGCATAATTCTTAAGGGGGAGAAAAATGAAAAAGAAACAGAAGTGTAACTCCTTTTCTTGAAAAACACGTATGATATGTATGTCATTGAGCACTGGCAGTGAAAGGTACAAGTTATCATTCAGAATTAGAAATTCTAAAGTATGAGGGATGGATGAGTGCACAGTTTACTTTTCGTACATAGGAAGACAGCAAAGAGGTTTTTTTTTTTTGTTAATGCCAACATTTCTGATTTGTAGGGGGAATTCCAATGTCATGTTCCTTGCTTAGTTCAGGTTTCAGAATGGCAATGATATGAACTGGATTGAAATATCTGTGGGGTTTTTTGTTTTGGTTTGGTTTTTTTGAGAGGCAGGGTGGGGTGGTGGTGTCTGTAATGTATTTGGTGAACTACAGCAGCTTAACATTTTAATTTAAGATTATGACTTGGAAATTTTTTCTTGTTCAGTGTGCTTACGTGGGATTGTTAATAGTTACGGGAAGTGTATTAGTGAGACTAGGTAAACATTCAGCATTGCCTTGAACGGTGTTTAGCATCTGGCTAGAATCCTGAAATAGGCTGGTGATTCACATACCTTACACTGTAATTGATCTGAAATGATTTGGGATACAGCATATGTCTTACTGCACCATATATTTGCAACATCTAGATTTACAGCCAGTCCTTCAGTTACTAATCCGTTCAGGGTTATTCCTTTGGGGGTTTTGTTTAGTTTTGGTTTCTGTTGTGTTACTTTACATCATTCATTCCGTTTCTGTAGTTTCCTGTAAGTCTATGACTCCTTTTCATAGAAAATCATGTGTTAGGACATGTAGTTCTGGTATATTTTGGTGAATTTTAGTTTAAACAAGTGTCAGATGATTAGCCTGTAGATTTCAGGAGTTTAATGACATCTGCACAATAGACCTCTTGTTCCTAGCCATCTTACTGGCTCCCTACGGAGACAAACCCCATTTTGTAACAAATTTAAGCTAGTTGTTATTTAAGACTGAATTACTTTTTGTTCCACAAGCTTATGCAGTTTTATATGTGGAGTTGATTAGTTGTTTCTAACTGGTTGTCTTACATGCACTTTAGATGTGATGAAAGAAATTTGGGTCTGCCCCCTTCAGTAGTTACCTAGATGTAGTTCAGAACAGAAAGAAAGAAGGGATTTTTTTTTTTTCCCTCCTGGTTTCTGATGTGAATTTCTATGATTTCATTCTAAGTCTTTGGGAAGGGTTGTGAGTACTTTGCCTTTTCCTAGAATTCCTTTGTCTCTTAGCATCATTTTAAGTTACTTTTGTTGTCTTTATCTGGTTTTTTTTTTTTCAATATTTTTGCCTTCTTCCACCATCTTGCTTTAATGTAAACATAGTCTTCTTTCATTATGACCTACTGTGAGTTTCACACTGTAATTTTCATCGTAGTCTCTGACATCTAAACCTGTATCTCTTCCCATCTTCAAAATATGTTTGTCAGTGGTTGAAGTTTATCCTTTTGTGCTGTCGATTCTCAGGCATTGTACTGCAGCACAGTACAATGCTGTGGCATCTATCTTATGTTAGGCTGTACTTCCAGCTGGGAGCCCCAAAGCCAAATTAAAATTCTGGTGCTGCTGAAGAGTTGATGCTCAATTGATTTCCATAGTTTGTGATTAAGTAGAATTGCTTTTCATTTCTCATTAAAACAGTCCTGAATTCTTGAGGGGAAAAAAAGTATTTTCCAGTTTGGTTTAATTAACAATACATGTTTGGTTTTGTTCTCAACTGAACTACTAAAATGTAAATGTCAGGTGGTTGTCCTGGTCATGATGAGTTTCTTTGTATTGCTTTACTTCTAATTTTTCATCAGTCTAAAATATTAAAATCAATGCCTATATCTGCTTTTAGAAAAGGTAAGGAAAAAGGTAATGAACTGTTGTTGCTGTTACTAAACTGAGAAGCTAAGAAGCCATTGTATTAAATGCCATACAGAGAAGATCTTGTAATCTAACAGTGAAGTATAGGATAACAGGTGAACACAGTCTGCTGTCAGAGAACATAAAGAATGAGAAAATGAACCAGCAAAAACAGTCTGCGGGTTATGGAGTGATGATCACAATGCTGTTGACAGTGATAAAGCAGTGCAACAAGTAGTTGGAGAACATGTGCCAATCTGCTGCTTCTAACCCGGAATATTTTTTTAATAAGGTTGATTCTCTGTGAAAACAAGTTCCTATAAATGTTTGCTTCTCTGTTCTTTCTTTAGGTATCATGCCAGTGTATCATAACATGTTTGCACTCATGAGTGAAACAGAGAGAATGTGGTATCCCCCAAATCACATCTTCCATGTAGATGAAACAACCAGACTTACCCTAATCTACCGGATAAGGTAATCTAAATCAAATGTTATGCACTTTTCATGGTTTAAAAAAAAAAAAAAAAAGGAGAAAAAAAAAACAAAAAAATATTTAGTTGAACCCGAGAATCTAAATCAAATGAGATGCACTTTTCATGGTTTAAAAAAAAAAAAAAAGTGAGAAAACACAACCAATAAGATATCTAGTTGAACCGTAGTTTCTCTAAGAAGTTAGGGACAGATTGTTGGTGATATCTGGACAAAAGATAAGATAAAAGAATCAAAATTATTGGAGTAGGTTTGAATAACATATTTTATTGATTGTCTGTATACCATATGTTTGCCATGTTGGATTGAAGAAACAAACAATTAAAAGTATAGCAGAAGTAAAAATAATATTTTTCTTAATGATACATCTCATCTCCTCTGGGCTTGCCTGTTTGAAATTAGTGGCAGTTCTGAAATGCAGAGTAGTTATCCTGTGTAGTCAGGCAGATGTCTGCACTAGAACCGTTTTTCTCTGACCTGATTTTTGAATGTGGACATCTAAAGCTACAGTCACAGTTTTCGTTATGTAGAAAATTTTGTTTCTTTACGTTGCATAACGTGGCCTGAGTGTTTCTTTAGGAACTGTCTCAAAGGTAACTGGAAGATGGTAACACAAAATTCTCTGTATTCTTATAAGTGAGAATACCCTTGTAGAGCTCCTCATTCCTAACAGTACAAGTTATCACCCTGCTTAAATGTTGTAGTACTTCAAGACATCAAGAACGAGATCCAAAGGCTTCTATTGACTAACTGCGGCTTCATATTGGTCTTCCAAATCAGCCAACACTAATTACATGTCTATGAACAGGATTAATGTCTGGTGTTGGTAAGTGAAACTATCTGTTTATTGATGTTTGCTTAAATATTTCCTAACAGGTTTTATTTTCCCCACTGGTATTGCAATGGCACCAGCAGAGCATATCGGTATGGCATTATCCGAGGTGCAGAAAGCCCTGTTCTTGATGATGTTGTCATGGCTTACCTATTTGCACAGGTATGACTTGCTTGATTATTTTTTAATGCAGGTGGGTAAAGCTTGTTAGTATTTATTGCCTTTCATGTCTTCTGATAGTAACTGTGTAGGCTCTTTTGACAGCTTGAAGCCCACTCAAGATGAACATTAAATTCCACGTCATACTGTGTATTTGGAGAGATGAAGATCAAATGGCCAGTTGTGGGGAGACCAGTGAGAGTGTGTAGCTCCTTTCTTGTGCCACTACCATGTGGAAGTCTTTCAGTGTGACTTTCATTTTTGACTGACACAATGTAGAACAACATCCTCCCCAAATGGACCTTGAGAAGATTGGAAATTAAAATATTTTTAAAACAGTGTTTCTAAGCATGATGGTAGCTGGTATCCATTATGAACATGTGCAGCTTTTTGTGAATGAAGGGGTTCATTGAGAAGAATGCAGTCTTAAAAAAACCCAACCTCCCAAACAAACAAAAAACTCCCAAACAAACAAAAAAACTGCACCCCAAAAAACTTTTATTGATGAGCAGCAGTGCTACAGTTTTTATTTTGCTTTCTTGCATTCTTCTTTCTCAGTGGCGAGATGATTTTCTGGATGGATGGATACAGATGCCTGTAACTCATGAAACACAAGAAGAATGCCTTGGGATGGCTGTTCTGGATATGATGAGAGTGGCCAAAGAAAAGGACCAAACCCCACTGGCTATTTACAATTCAGTCAGGTGACTTCATATTTCATAACTGTATCACACCTATCTGATATCAAAAACCAGTATTTATGCACATTAGCATTTGGGAGGAGATGTTCAGCTGTTGGCAACTGATTTATTCTAGCATAATGATTCCATAAACTTACGTATAGTGTTAACTAGAAATTAATAGAAAGCTTGTATCATGATGGCCATTCGTGGTTTCGAGTACATGGATTTGGCTCCCTTAATGAGAGGCAAGGCAGCGGCCACTCACGTGGGAAAGGATGTAAGCAATAATTTGACTTGGGAGAGACCTCTGGAAGTCATCAGATCCAAGCCCCTGTTCAGATCAGGGCCAACTTCAAAGTCAGATGAAGTTACTCAGGGCGTCATCCAGTCACGTTCTGAAAATATCAGGGGTGGAGATTCTACCATGTCTCTGGGCAGCTTTGTCCTGTGTGTGATCACCCTCATTGAGGAAGATTTTCTCCGTATCTAATCAGTGTCCTCTGTGATACTGTGTGTCTGTTGCCTCTTGTTCTTTCACTGTGCATGTCTGAGAAGAGCCTGATTCAGTCTTCTCCATAACCATCTGTTAGTTGAAGACAATTAGTAGGACACCATACTTGAGCCTTCTTATCTCCAGGCTGAACAAATCAAGCTCCCTTTCACTTCTTCTGTCATGTCATGTGCTCCAGGCTCTTAACCATCTTGGACAGATCTCTGCTAAACTTGCTTGAGTTTATCATTTCACTTTGGTTTATCAACCTAACTGGTTTCCAGTCTGGCTGAGTTAATTGTGTCCCTGCTTAGTACTTAATGCTTGATGTTTGTCTTTTAATGAAACCTAGCAGAAGGATTAAAAAACAGAATGAGACAACGAATTGGCCAGCTGATTGCAGGTGACAACCTACTCTTTTGCCCCTTGATAGAGTGTGGACTGTGGTATAGGAACTTCAGTGAGGACCAACCACAGTGTTGTATTCTACCACCTGTATTCTCAGCCAGGAAATCTGTCCTCTATCCATCTAGTTGCCCCTATCTGTGCAGTATCCTCTTTCCAACTTCTACACCGAACAAAGCAACTGTGTAACTTCTGATGCCTTACCTGAAAACTTCAGTAATGACTAGAACAGACATGTCTGGATTTATGGCAAATGCATTATATAACGTATGTTGAAACTGAGTGAGGGGAAAAAATGGAAAATGGAAGAAGGGACAGGGATGTATTTGAAAGAACATGCTACAGATTGAAGAAAGGATCCTTGTTATCCTACAGTTTAAAGAATAGAGGAAAAGATATGTTCACGTTGACTTGTTTAGCACAGAACTAATTACCTTTGCTGGATTTAATGGATAAAATTAGTAGTTTTTTTGCTGGTTATGTGTTCACAGCTACAAAATGTTTTTGCCTAAATGTGTGCGAGCAAAAATCCAAGGCTACCACATTTTGACGCGAAAAAGAATAAGGTACAGGTTCCGCAAATTTATACAACAGTTTGGCCAATGCAAAGCTACTGCCAGAAACCTGAAACTTAAGTATCTTATAAATCTGGAAACCCTTCAGTCTGCCTTCTATTCAGAGGTTTTTGAAGTAAAAGAACCTGGTGGAGATCCTTCTGGAGAGGAAAGTTTTGCAACCATTGTAATAACTGGAAATGGTGGAATTCAGTGCTTAAGAGGAAAACTTAAAGACTATGAGACACTGGCAGAGCAGGTAATTTCTTTCATTATTTTAATAATTGTACAGTTTATCATGTGACAGAGTGACTAGCTTATGTTAGAAGTTCTGATTTACCCCAGGTAAATTTGGTAGGTAAATTTTACTTCACAGTGATGACACAATTGCCATATGGCTGAGGCTCACAGAAATGTATTGACTTAAACAGTGCAGGATTTTAAAATTAGTTTTTTATTGAAGTATTAGAAGAAAGTCATATTTGAACATGTAATACTTCCGTGCTTGACAAATGAAAAATTCAGTGTTGGACCTTCATTACTGTAAGAAAAATCAATGTGGAAGAGTAACGACCCTGCCCCCAGGTATAGGTAGAATGCACAAATCCTCAAATTCTCTTTGAAAGAATGGTTTTAAGGACTCCAAAAAACAGGTAAATTTCCCTATACCTCTTTCTTGCTGCAGTTAGATTCCTACCAGTGTCTGAGCTAGCAAATTTAAAGTAAAATTTCTGTGACTGCAGGGTCCACATACTGTTTGTTCAGGAATTAAATGCTAAATGGTTTCAATAAGGGCTAGTAACCATGTGCTGTTCCATTTTTATTTATCAGTATTTTTTGTGTGTGTGTGTGATTTCCCAGCATGACTATGCATTTTGTCGAACTTACCAGAATCTGATACAAACTCATAGCAGTATACATCGAGAGTGTAGGAATTTTCCAAAGGTAAAATTAAAGGCAAAGTGGAGCACATGTCAGTTTTCCAAAATAGTTGCATCTGTTAGTTTGGCAGTTTTGATGCATAATATATAGCAGTGAAGACCCAACTACAAAAGGTTGTATTTTTACAGTATGCTATAATAATTTGTAAAAATGCTATTTTTTTTCTGTAATACTTAAAAAAAAAAATATCTGATTACATACCCAGATTTTTTAAGTGTGTTCTTCTTAGAATATTTGTAGTTTGACATTACGTTCAGTTACCTCATTCATAGTTGTTATTCATCAGCCCTCTGCCTTTCCTAAGTTGCCTGTAAGTGCCAGTTGCTTTGGCAGGAGTTAACATAAACGTCAGATTTTGCAATTTCTAGTTTTAGGTGTACAAAATTTATGCATACTATGCTGTTTGGGCCTGCCAACCAAGCCTTTAGTAAGTTTAAACTGATTGTATTTCCTGCTGGGTTTGCCAAATTATTTTTTCATAATTAATAATATTATCATCCCACTTATTGACAGACACATGGTGTAGGCTGCATATATTTTCACTGGCACACAAACTGTTTATAAACTTGGTTACGAAAACTTAGTAAATTAATAAGGCTGTAAACGTGATCATAACTCTTCTTTCAGCAAACTACATTGATGAATCTTTATTAAGATATTTAATTTAAACAAAATTTTTTTTTGAAGGCAGGAATGACATATGTGGGGTAGATTGTGAAGACATTTGTTTTGCCAGTTCACATTTTCAACAACCAGATGAAAAAATAGAGCTTCAGGGACTTGGATGCATTTGAGCTGATTTATTCTAGTTGATACGCACTGAGTCTTACAGCCTTGATTGTTACACCTGTTTATGTATTAGGATATGCTTACAGCCATATAAATGGGGTATTCTGACTTGAATAAAATCTATTTGCTTTGGAAGAATAATTTTAGATAGATAAATCTGCCTTTATTTAAGGATGTTACTTAGCATCTGAAGTTCTACTGAAAACAAAACAAAGTATGATTTACATGACATTGTAATTTAACGTGTGAAAGACTGAAGAAAGTGGTACAGAATATCATAGTGTCAAAAACTACCTGAACTTGCTATCAAAGGAAAATGTGTCTTGTATTTCCCATGTAATTAGGATCAGTGCTTCAAGTCATCTAGTCAGTGATGACCATGGCTGATGAGAGAACCTTCTCTTAGACCCTTTCTTCATTCATACTACATCCATCTCTTTGGTAGCAGGTTTTTCAGCTTGTATCACTCTGAACGAAGCCATGACATTTTGGATTTTTAACAGGTTTTCTAAACCTCTGTAATCAGGATGCTAGTAATAAGTTCTCAAAAAAAAAAAGTGCCCCCAAAAGATTAATCAGAATGTTCCACTGTTAATCCTTACAAAATACTACAGAGCAAAGAAATATCTACAATAAAAAAAAAACCAACCGCTATATGGATATTTCTGTTCACGGTTCCTGGATCTTTGTGCATTTTCTTAATTGATGTTACTAGTGATGGTCCCATAAACACAAAACTCCTTTCTTTATTTGTAATGACACATTTAAGGTTTTATGATCCTCTATTGCTAGCTTACAAGTACAGAGTTGTAGGAATTCTAATGCTGCAAATAAGTGGGGTTTTTTAGTTGCTATTTATGTTATTACTGACATTATATAACCAATATTTATTGCAGGATTTACAAACATACTGTGATTTTCCTGATATCATTGATGTCAGCATTAAACAAGCAAGCCAGGAAGGCTCCAGTGAGAGAAGAATTGTCACCATTCACAAACAAGACAGCAAGAATCTGGTCTGTTTACTTTGCTTGCTGTTTTTTCAAATAGATGTTGCTTTGAGCAGACTGTATGATTGCTGTGGTATTTATAGTATTGTATAGCCAATTACCATGTTAATTAAGCATGAGGTAAAACTAAGTGCATTTCAGCAGTAAAAGTGGTGTATCGGAACACCAAAGGTCTTCTGCATTCAAAGCTCTGTGCATGGACTGAAATAGAAATAGGGTTGAGGGTAACTTCTGATACAGAGTTTGGTTATTTTCTCTATTGGAGTCTTAAGCCTGCATCTGTGATTTTAGCTATCAAGCCTACTGTTTCCGTGCTGTCATGGTAAGCTGTCTGCTAGTGACCAACACATTGAAAAAGGCTTCAAAATGCTCTGAAGGAATGATGATACACAGAAAATGAGTATTGGGACAAAATTAATGTCATTGCTTTTACTGTTTAAAATTCTTGGGAGAAGATCTTAAGACAATATTTTATACATGAATGTAAAAGGTTAATTTGTTTCAGTTTGAATTCCAGCATTGCACTTGAGTCAGGCTTTCCAGCAGGTATACCTGTCACATGGTTGTGTGGTGGGCTGACCCTGGCTGGATGCCAGGTGCCCACCAAGCCACTCTATCAATTCCCTCCTAAACTGGTGGGGG